CAAACTAAGCTGGAAGGGTTATCACGGGGCTCGCAGCAATAGCTAGTCTTCCTTCGGCTCTTTGTCGTAGCGAGCCTCTTCTAACAGCAAGTGGTTGTTGCTGTTGTCGTTTTCACTGCTTTGTATTGGTTTGGGTGCCTTGGGGGGATGTCTGAGCCTCTCCCGCTTGCAGAACATGGATGAGGAAGAAAGCGTGTGACGATGTTTGTGTTGGTTTTGGTAGGACGGGAGTTGATGATGGAATGTTCTACAAAATTCATATTGCAAGTTGTGGATGGGCCGGGGGGCCAGCCACCCGCATGCAAAGCAAAGCAAAAGCATAAGAACTCAACCAAGATAGTTGTAGTATGCTACAGTAGCTCGTTTATAGCGGCCTGCTTTTGGGCCACCCTGCTCTGGAATGTACCAGACTTTCGGCCCAGAATCCACGGACTTCAAAGCCATTCGGTCAGCAAATCCGTCGGACTCAGGCAAGCATGGAAGAGAAACGGACGGTAGTCCGGGAGCAGCTCGACAGCACGACCTTGGCCCCACTGCCAATCCACTTGGAAGCTTGTGCTGCTGCTGCTGCTGCTGCTGCTGCTGCTGCTGCTGCTGCCGGTGTGCTGGTGTGCTGGTGTGCTGGTGTGCTGGTGTGCTGGTGTGCTGGTGTGCTGGCGTGCTGGTGTGCTGGCGTGCTGGCGTGCTGGCGTGCTGGGGTGCTGGGGTGCTGGTGCTGTGCTGGTGCTGTGCTGGTGCTGTGCTGGTGGTGGTGGTGGTGGTGGTGGTGGTGGTGGTGGTGGTGGTGGTGGTGGTGGTGGTGGTGGAGGTGGTGGTGGTGGTGGTGGTGCTCCTGCTGCTGCTGCTGCTGCTGCTGCTGCTGCTGCTGCTGCTGCCGGTGCCGGTGCCGGTGCCGTTGCCGGTCGGCGCTGGCGCTGGTGCTGGGGCTGTGGCTGAGGCTGGTGGGTGCTTTTGGTGCTGTTGGCGCTGGTGGCGGTGGCGGGTGTGGCGGGCGTGGCAGTGGTGGTGGCTGTGGCGGTGGAGGTGGCAGCAACGCTGCCGGTGACAGACCTTGTCCGGCAGCGGTGGCTGGTTCGGTGGCGGCGGCGGTGGCGGTAGCGGTGGTGTGGTTGCTGGTGGCCAGTGCTTCGTGGAATGGTAAGTTTCATGCCATGCAACTTCAAATGAAATTGGCAACCACTTCTGCTGCAAGGTATAAGGAATCAGCTGAAGGCTTCCTTGAACACACGGACACGGTCCTGCTGTGGCACCTGGACAAACAAGTAAAATCTCCATCATGCCAGCAGACACGCTCTGGGCACTAGGTTTACAGGAGTTAGCGGCGCGCCTGCATAAGCGAATATGGGCTGATAGAATATATTATCGGACTGCGAGGGACTCCATGCGGCTCACATCAAGTTGTAAAAGAAAGTGATCCGTTTCATCGGTAGTGAAGCCCCTTGAAATGGGAGAGGCTGTGCTGCTGGCGGAGCCCGTCTGCCCCAGAACTTGTAGTTCACGCTCGACCTCAGAAGCTGTGTCAGCCTGAATGATTCGGGCTTGTATTGCTGCAGGCCAAGTACATAGTTCTAGTTCTTCGGATCCATGCACCTTTACTGTTGCTAGCCAAGAGCTTGGTAGTCTAGTCATGCTTATCGACTCAATATGTCAAAGTCGCCAGGCACAGGAAACACTATCTATATGTTGTGTATATATATATGTACATTGGTATACATCCATCCATCCATCCATCCATCCATCCATCCATCCATCCATCCATACACACATACATACATCCCTGCGTGCATACATATGTTTATGTTTTGTTACCTTTGTGCTAATTGGGGTGTGGGGTGGGGATGGGTGGGCGGGGCGGGGTGCTACACCGCCCCACCCCATTCACCCCGACCCGACCAACCCCTCCTAACCCAGCTGCGCTGTTGCACGTATGTATGCACGTACGTACATGCATATAGTATTAACATATATGACTTCAAAACAGAAGGTTGTCAGCAATTCAAATTTCTACAACAATTACCAGCCTTCAAATCCTCAAGCGTACGGCAAAAGCATCATGCTTGACCAGCACGCTCTCAGGTCCGTGCCCACGCCATGATCCTGAACATGCTGGAGCCACTGCAATCATTCAAAAAGGAAGCACGTCGTGCAAGCTCTCAGTGCCAGACTGTTGGGCCCCAGACCTTCAGAACTGCGTGAGCGGCGCCGCGAACAAGTGCAATCTTCACGGCCCAGCACACTCTCAGGACCCAGCATTCGTTGTCGAACCTGTGAGGTGTAGCTGCATGAGCCAAGCTTCTAAACAGCATCCGCCTGCACTTACATGCGGAAGACTTCAATGTGCCTGCTGGGCCGCACCTCTGTCTGACCTGTCACTTGAAGAAGGTGATATGCAACAATAACCTACAAACCTGTACGGTGTACGACTCAGGCATGCACCGCGGCCGGGTGTCAAACTGTGCTTCCATGGCCTGCGCCCCAGCGACTGATCGTGAATGATCCCTCTGCCGTGCTGTTATATGATCGGACATGACACAGGACTGTCAGCAATGGCCTGGGCCAGTGGACTCTTTGTCGCGGCCCCCCGTGCACTCAGGGGAGTTGGCTTCTGCCTGATGGTACTTCTCAGCCGGTGCCCTCACCGGCTAGATAAGCACATATAGCCATCATGCATTTGCTTGCATCATCTGGCTGATGCGTATGGTGAGGTGCCCACACATGGCAGACCTGGCCAGAGAACCCCCCATGCTACTGGAATGTTACTCTCAGAGCATAATTGCCAGAGCTCGGCGAATGTAAGCCGCACACACCCGGCTTCGATGACCAGAACTGGTTTCCAGGGCCTTCCCATTGTTTTGTTTAAATGACTCGCAAAGACTAGAATAAAATAGCTGTAACTCACTTTTGCCACCTTCCGGGCCGATGCTCCTGGGAACCTCGACCGGGCCCTTGGTCAAACGGGACTTCACGTCAGAAGTCTTCGAGGAGCAATCCCTGCAACTCCTTTGAGCCAAAGTGCATCACAAACTCTAAGCTCCAGAGCCCACTGAGGTTGGCACATGGACCGTGCTGAGCAGCGTCTTTTTTACAGGCAGCATGCCTCCCACATCCACATCTAATGCCAGTATGCGTCGGGACCACACACCATGGCAACCGCACAAAGAATTGCACCAGCATTCTCTGATTCCAGTGGAGGCCCACGTGAACAAAAATCGATTTGGAGGCCTCCCGCCGAGGCTATTGCCACGCAACGTAGTGAAGTCTATGCCAAGCGAGGACCCAAATCATGGGAAGTGGGGTCAGTGGGGTCAGTGGGGTCAGTGGGGCCGGGAATCTCATCTGAAAGTCCTAAGAAGTGCATCTTTACATGAACACCTGTAGTTCTGTTTGCAATAGCTTTCGAAACGTGACATCGGTGGATAAATCTCCATGTGTTTGGGGTTCATGCGATCATGGAGGTGTGACAGCTGCGGGACACTGTCTCGCCAAAGGGCCAGATGCGTTGAATGTCCCAAAAACGCCAGAGTACCGATGAAGAACCTCTCCACAGCAAGCTCTGCATAGATTCGTCCCAGAACACCAGAGTTCGAGAGGCTCTTGCGGACCACTTAGTATGCCCATCACCCACTCCGGCAAGAGTTCCCGAATCACTCCACATCATGAACTAAGCCCTCTAATAAGCTCTGTGTTGTAGAACCGAACCGTCATCTGGTGAGTATTCGTTAAGTAGAGGCAGTGAGGGCTCAAGGATGATGCTGGGAGCTAGAACCATGCCACCCTCTGGACATCTGCCATTTTGCTCTTGCGCTTGCGAGAAGGCAAAGAACGGGTGCCCTGAACCCCACCTTCAGCAGCAACCTGATGTGTATCAGCGCAGGGTTCCCAAAAGCCTGATTGATACGCTGTGAACTTTTCTCTAAAATACTACTACATTAACTGACATGCCACAGCTCAGGCATTGCGGCATGTGACTGTAGAGATGCTCAGAAGCCCTATCAAGATCTCTCGGGTCTTCAAAGTCCTCCGAAATTATCTGCGAATCTCAAAAAGGATCTTGGAACCCGACCGCTGAGGCCGAGATATCTTTTTGGCCAACGCTCGGGCCCAGAAAAATTACACAGATCATCTTGCTGGGCATTTGTTGAAAGCTCCTCACACCTTCAGTGAAAGCTTGCACCCTGCTGCCTTCAGAGCCAGATCGCCTATGCAATGAGAGAGCTTGCACATCGCCCAGCTCTTGACGGAAGGGCAAACTTTCTGGCTAAGGCTGGTGAGGTGAAAGATGTCATTGCGCACCAGACGCTGCAATGCAGGAAAGGAAGCTAACATCATTGTCTGAATTCTGGGCGAGAGTTCAGCCTTCCATGAGCTCATGAGTGACAAGTCCTGATCCCGACACAAAGCTTTGGCCTTGGGGGCCTGGTTTGAAGGATTCGTGGCTGAGGGCTTGGATAGGGTGGCTTCTGGTTGACGGATCATTTCCATAACCTACAGTCGTCGCCTCCCGTAAACATGTCCGGTGGCTCGTTTCAAGCCCCTGGAGGAAATTAAAAGAATTTTCCGGTCGGCAAGAGCCGCACAGTGCAACTCAGGCACTTGGAGCTCTGACCACTCACAAAACACAGCTTCCGCAGCTTCAGCTTACCATGCCTTCGGCATGTGGCCCCATTTGCTTCGTGCAGGGAACTCTTGCTGTTGAGTGTCATGAAGACTACGCAACCCCTCCACCCCTCTGGCGCGACTAGCCTTTCAGCTGCATCAAAGATGTAATGATGTAACTGATGCTGGCCTTCAGGAAGGGTATGGTCCCTTGGGGTTCCCCTCCATGAAGGCCCAGATGTCAGCAAGGTTGAATCAAAACTCCATTAGCATCCCAACACATTGGTGTCCCAGATCCGGCATGCCCTCAGTCCAGATAAGATCTGACTGGAACCGGGCGGAAAACGCGCATGATCAAAACTTTAGTCTCCGAAGCGTCTGTCAGCCACTGGACTGCGCAAAGCTTACACATCCACAGTCTGCAGCTTCTCCTCAGAACGGCGGTTCATTGGCTGCAGGTCCTGGGCGCCGCAGAACCCCTTCTGCATGTATGGCAAGCGAGCCCACAGCCAGCTTAACGTCATGCAGCGCTGGATCCATACCGAGCACTCCAATGCTCTCGCGAGGTTACTGCTTACCAGAGATTTCTCAGAAACTTGCTTAACAATGAAAGCAACACGAATGGCAGCAGTACTGTCCAGAAATAAGGGTGACAATAGTAAGGCGTCGACAGGGGGCACATCGTTCTTCACGACTTCAGTGCTGGGGGTGTTTGCCTCTTCTTTCTTCTCCTGCACAGGAGCTGGCACTGGTCAGCGCCAAGCAATGCCGAGTATGCCTGGCAAGAATCCACTTGGTTGGGCCCCTGTTAGCACAATCCTTCCTCACTGCTGGAGTTTCGCAGGCGCCTGTTCTAGGTCGCAGACGCCTGCTCTAGGTCACATGCAGCAACTACTATCAGAAGCAAGTTTTGTCCTGAAACCCCAAAGGCTGAAGACAGGCAAAGACCACAAACCAGGCCCAAAGCCCACCTGATCCAACTGCTTGGGCACCCTCACGAGTCCTACAAGCCCTTCCGGACTTCAAATGCTTTCCATAATCTGGACACTTCAATCAACAAGAAAGTCCTTTGCGCTAGTTGTGAGCTGATCATTGTTGGTCAGGGAAGGCACGAAGCTTGTGCTTACCTAGGCCACGGCTCAAGGAAATGTTAAATAAGACACCACCATGTTTGATCAAACAAGTAGCGGCAAGTAGCGAAGGAACACAAACCTTCAAAAAAATCTGCTGTGCTTTCGGTACGGAACTTACATGAAAGTGTCCCACTCGAAGGCTGAAGCATGTTAAATCCACCGACTTGCTCATGCACTCGGACTGCAATTGACTTTGCAAGCGACATGACAGCTGAGAGAACTTCCTACAGTGAATGCCCACGTCTTCTGGATAGTCCCAGCTCAGGGGCACTCAGGCGATGCCGCAGCTGAAGTCGCTTGTCGTTCCTTGGCTGCATCCGCTCTCGTCGTGTTTGAGCAGCAGGCAGGGCAATATGTTCAAGGCGAGCTCCGGAAAATCCGAGACCGGACCGATAGGGAAGGGGTGGGGGAGGCTCTTGTTCGGGCTAAACAAGAACCGGGGGAAGGGGGTTCTTGTGTGGCTGGCCCCCTCTTTCTTCGGCCTCGAACAAGAACAAATTCTTCTATTCCCCCCCTCTTAACCCGCGTAGTAGCAATGACGATAACAATGATTGAAATGTAATACAATAGTAAACAATTATAGTAATTACAGGACCAAAGAACCCCACACGTGTAGTTTTACCTGAATCTAAATGATATGATATTAGGATGCCGTCGCCCGCCGAAATAAAGAAGAACAAGAAGACAAGACGATAGCTGGGAAAATGATCCTCTGAAAAATCTTAATGGGACACCCTTTGCGCTTTGAGCTTTGGGGCTTGATTCTCAGAAAAATCTTAGGAGGACACCCCTTGCGATTTCAGATTTGGGGACTTGATTCTTTGAAAAAATCTTAAGGGGACACCGCTTTGATTTCAAATTTGGGGACTTGATTCAATGAAAAATCTTAGGGAAACACCCTTGCGATTTGAGATTTGGGGAGATGATGCCCTGAAAAAATCTTAGGGGGACAACCCTTGCGATTTGAGATTTGGGGACTTGATTATTTGAAAAATCTTCGGATATCTTAGGGGACACCGCTTGCGATCTGAGATCTGTGGACTTGATTCTCTGAATTTTTTGAGGGGTACACCTATTGTTTTTTTCAAATTTGGGGACTTGATTCTCTGAAAAATCATACGGGGTTTGACTGGAACGGAGTCTGGACGCAGATTCCTGTACCTACAAAAAAAAGGGCGGCATGGGCACTTTGGAGTGCAGCTTGTGGCCATAATGAAAGTCGGGCGCTTTTCCTTTTCCCAAAACAAGGTTTTCAGGCAGTGATGAGCGCGACAGTACATGTCAAACATGTCCAGTTGCAGCAGTGGCAAGTGTGCATGCCCGCATTGAAGCAAGAACATGTGTGAAGTTTTCAGTTGTGAGGCGCTGTCTTCTACAGAAATAAAAATGAATATTGAGCCTTGAGTCCAGATGACGAGGTACCCAAACCCCAGCCCAAGGACTTCACGTCCTTGGTACATCAAGCTCTGCTTGATAGATGACCGGATTTGGGCTAGCGTTTGGATGCACAAGTGCGTGCGTGGGTCTGTCTCTGTGTGTGCGCGCGTGTACGTGTGTGTGTGGGTGTGTGTCTGTGTGTCTGTGTGTCTGTGTGTCTGTGTGTCTGCGTGTCTGCGTGCCTGTGTGCCTGTGTGTCTGTGTGTCTGTGTGTCTGTGTGTCTGTGTGTCTGTGTGTCTGTGTGTCTGTGTGTCTGTGTGTCTGTGTGTCTGTGTGTCTGCGTGTCTGTGTGTCTGTGTGTCTGTGTGTCTGTGTGTCTGTGTGTCTGTGTGTCTGTGTGTTTGTGTGTTTGTTGGGGTTTAGGGGTTCAGGGTTAAGGGGTTTAGGGTTTACGGACCAGGATATTATATATATATATATATATGTGAGCTCAAATGGCGGACGCGAGTGACCCTAGGGATATCTAGGAGTGGTGAAAGTGGGGGTTCTTATCATTGCTTGTATAGGGTTATTTATATGTTGAGCAATACGCATATACGGATGTATACTGCGAGCCCACAACGAGTATTCCAGAATTGAGTTTTAAGTTCCAAAACGCCTTCAGAACATGGTGTTGCGGCTTTTAGTTCCGGATTGTGGTCTTAGGGTGTCGAGTTGTGAATTTCTTTCTTGGGTGCGCCGGAACAAGGAAGCAGGTAAATTTGAGAATTTACCGAAGCAATCCTACAGAGTCCTCAGTGGGGCCATTTATCCTGAGCATAGAAACCGTGACCCTAAACCCGAAACCCTAATATGGGATGGATTAGGATTTCGAAAGCTGAGGGGTCCCTGCTATCTAGCCCTATGACTCAAGTCCTAAAACTCTTGCTGCTTCAAGGTTCATGGGATTAAGTGACTACTTAAACGGATAATTATGCAAGTAGGATCATAACACCAAATATATGTGGATACCGACTCCCATGAACCTCCGAGAGGGAAGACTCCCGCTACGGTTGGGTATTTTAGCAACCTGACTCCTAGGGACAGTACAACTTAGTAAGCATACCTCCAAGACCCTAAACCCTAAACCCTAAATCCTATCATAGGGTCCTATACCACACCTACACTAAGACCCCCACCTTGAACCAAGGGCTAATTAAGGGTTCTGTAAGCGTATTTGTGGCTTTAGTAACGCGGGGCTGGTATAGGAACCTATGACGTAGAGCAAGCCCAGATATCTCGCCCTTAAAGTAAGGCGCAGAGTAGTTGGCAGAAACCGCCCCATGCAGTCGGAAAAGCGATGGAAGAAAGATTTCCCCGAGAGCCCAATACCCCTTAGTTAAGGAATATACCTTGAACGGCGCTAGGGTCCTTTTCATGGTTTAAGGTATCTTCCTTAGCTTAGGGGTAGAGGGCTTGCTGGGTTTGCACGTCAATTAGCAATAGGTTCTTCAACGGAGCAAGCTACGGAACTCAGCCTGACGAAGCCGTCAGCTTTGGGTTTTAGGGCTTCAGGGTTTAGAGTTTGAGGTGTTCAGGGTTTTAGGCTGCAAGGGTTTCAGTTAGGTCAATCCCCCCTATAGTAATAGCTGCTTGATATGGACTTAATAAGGCCTTAATATACCCACAATAGTCCCTTGTGGTACCCATTACTGGGTGGGGGATTGACCCAAGGTTTCAGGGTTTAGGGTTAGGGTTTTAGGGTTTAGGCTTGGGGATGGCCCTACGGACCTTGTACCTTGGGAACTATGGGTAGTACATTTAGGGGTTTAGGGTTTAGGGTTTAAGGTTTAGGGTTTGTTGAGGTCCCGCGGAGTTTTCAACCGTACGAAGTTATACCTCATACCCCGAGCACCCAAAGCCCTGTCATGAATTTAGACTCTGAATAAGACCTCAGCCCTTACAGCCTCCCTGGAGCCCCTTAAGTATGTAGAAGAATGGTTGTTGAGCTTGTTTCTTGGGATTTTGGGCCGTTCTTTTAGTTGCCTTTGGGGTAGGAGAGTCAAGTTTTGCAGGCGTTCAGTTTCCAGCGGCGAGTCGCGGCGGAGCAAAGGGGGGCCGTCAAAGTAGACCCTAAACCTTAAGGGGTTTAGGGTTTAGGGTTTAGGGTTTAGGGTGTAGGGTTTAGGGTTTAGGGTTTAGGGTGTAGGGTTTAGGGTTTAGGCCTAAACCCCAAGCCCTGAACCCTAAAC